TTTCAATTAAATGTTATTGTAAAAAAATTAGTAATGTGATCACTAGTAAAAATGATCGACGTTCACCCTACCCTTAAAATAAACAAGATATGGCAAGATCATACCCAACTGGAAGTACTTGTCTGGTCACCAGATCACATGAGCCGCCTTAGTTGTACATTTTTTGGCTACTTCGGTAGTATAACTAGGGGAAGATCCTAGGATGAGATCTGGAAAAAGGAACAAGTACAAAACAGAACACAGGAACACCAACTTTAAAATAATACTAGAAGTAGTACAATATGTACTCTGAAAAACTCGGTTGGAAGTTTTGATGCCCATAACCTGTGAGACCCACCAATTAGGAGAGTATCTGTTATCAAGTCCTGCATGCATATTATCAACACTATATGTAATAAGAAAGGTTGTGCTTGAGATACGCACTGGGTTATGGCAGCATTACAAATAATGGCTTGAGATACGAACTTAGTAATGGCAGACAATATGTACTACACTAATTTGGAAGTAGCCGTAAGGTTACGCTTGCCTGGTGCCCCCTAGTGGGATCTGTAACTGGAACCATATTGGGAGTGTATGGTTGTTAATATGAGAAATATAGGAAATATATTAGGGTTAGAATAGGATATTTAGTTAGTGGTACACAAAATCCAGGTAATATATAAGTGGGACATGGACAGCTCTAGTAGGTATAGATCATAAATAATTAGTCTAAGCCACTGTTCTATTAATTGTTGTATAAATATATATAATTGATATACATATATACTTAATAAATAACATGAGGCAAGATCTCACCTTAAAAAAAATAAATAAATAAATAAATAAAAAAAATAAACTAGTATAGCAGATTCAATTTTTTTTTAATACAAATATATATGTTGTATGTTAGTTGAAAGGAAAATTTAAAATTATGTCTATATTTGCTATTTGGAAAATTAAATTAGTATCTGAAATTAACCACTCTAGTATCACCCAAAAAATAAATTATATATCAGAATTTAAAATTAAACATTAGCACTTAAATAATGATTAATCGAAACTAATAACTTATTGATGCAAATTTTTTTATTGTATTTTTATTTAATTTTTGCTGTATTTTTTTTTATTATATAGTATTAAAAAAGCATTTAATTGTATTTTATTAACTTTTTTTTTTTTTCTAACGCTACATCAATTAAACTTCGAAAGCTATATACAGTAATTTAATTAAAAAATCTAATTTTAAAAAAGATGCTAAGTTACTGCCAATAAAAAGTATTTAAATTGCACCCATTCTATGTCTTTCTTAAAATTTTTGCAGCTTCAAACCCTTCTAAGTCATTCACCATTTTTTTAATAGGGCCTAAGTTTTTTTAATCACATTTAATTATTTTTTTTGGGGGGAAGAGAATCTGATTTTTCAATAAAGTTTATCACCTATAAATTAATTTTATTAATATGTAAAAACAAATATACTGTATATTATAAATAACTTGTATAATAAAATAAATAAATAGTACCTTTACTAGTATTTCTTTAAATTTAATAGCTTTATTGTTTGTAACTTCAACATTGCTATTACTTGAATCATATTTATTTATCTTTAAATCTACTTCAGCTTCTTTATAATTGCTATATTCTACTTCACATTTGGGATTAGCCAATACAATAGGTGAATTATTCTTGATAGTTTGCCAAATTATTTGTTGAGCTTCATAAAGAAATAAATATTTATTATTGCATTGAATCTTATTAAAAAAAGAGCTATCTATATTTCCCAGTAGTGAAACTAAATATTTGCAAAGTGCAAATCAATTTTTAAAAATAAAAAGCATGAACAAATCCAATTGCCATGATTAGTAAAATATTTGTTAGAATTTTTTACTTCTTTACTTGCTAACTTTTTCTACTCTGTTCTAAAATCTTTTCTCTATGATGGCTGAATTCTTTTAGCAACAAGAAGATTATAGCGATGTGTAAGTTTTGGTAGCATCTGATTAGTAATAACATAACAAAGAACATCAAAACGTGAATGATTAAATATATATAAAAAATCATGTTTAAGTATTCTTCAATATGACTTAATAATTATCGTAGTGCAGATAATCGAACTATTTTTGTGAGCTGACAGGGCCCAAAAACACCAATGTTCCTATCTGTACTACTCTAGCCATAAATAACACTATATATGAAATAAGTTACGATAATAACAATATTGAAAAATTTCATTAACTGCTTAATACCAAATTTTATTTGAAGTTGATACAAATTCTTTATCTGCTATAGAAATAAGTATATGACAATGAAAATAAGTATCAATATATTTCAATACTTCTTTTCATAAAGATGTTTCTAAAAAAACTTTTTTTACGTCAATATTATTATTAATTAGCTTCCAGGTTGAATCAATTATAGAGTATTGTTGATGTGCAATAATAGCATTGTAATTGGATAATATATTAGTAAATTTTGAAGATAATTTTTGCTCAATTGCATGTTTTAATTGCCATTTACAAAGTTGAACTTCTACATTTTTCCAAACAGCCATTCCACTACTAATTTGAGCAAAGTCTTTGTCTAAAAAAATAGTTTTTACTTCTTTAAATCCATTTTCATATAAAAATTTAAATCAAGAAGTTATAGCTACACAAATATCATGCCTTTTTCCAGATTCAATAAAACAATATAAGATTCATTAGCAAATTTAATAGGGCATAATATTATATAATAAATTACGACCCGTAAAAAAGGTGTAATATAATGTAAGATATTTCGAAACCTTGCGAAATATTAACTTATGAAATATTATGTAAGATATTATGAAATATTACATAAGATATTACGAAATATTACGTAAGATATTTTGCAATATAACGAAATAGAAAGCAAAAATTTACAACAAATTTACGGATAGTAAATTAAATCGCATTAATTCGAACATGCTTAAAGATGATAACAATAAGTAAAACTACTAAG